TTTTGTTGTGTAAATAAATCATTTTTATCTTTAGACATTTTACAACAACCAGATCCATCTTTACAACATATCTCCTTACAAGGACATAATTTTTCTAATTGTTTTAAAATTTCCCATGAAATATTTTTTCTAATTGTATTATCTTTAAAAATTCGTATTTGATCATGTGAAACAATCATTATAACTTTTTTTAAAAAATCTCTACCAAGCATTATATCCATTGGTAATACATAATTATGTACAACTTGAAATAATGTTGATATTTTACAACCATCAATTATTAAATCAATTTCAACTGCACCAATTGTTGTTGTTATAGTATCAGCAATACCAGATAATTCAATACGTCTGGATCGATTAACACCAATATTTAATTTTTCAAAAGCATCTTTACGTATTAAATTTCGATCGCATCCGGTATCAACTAATGCAACCATTTCATATTTACCAATTATAACAGTTTTTAACATTATTATTAAAATTTAATAAAATATTTTTGTACAAATCGAATTTAAATGAACCCTTTAATGGAAAATCAATTAAAATACTGATTTTATTTAAAATTTATTGTAAAAATTTAACAATTTAGTAATTTATGTTTTTGGCAAGAATTACCTTCTTTGTCTTTAATAAACTGTAATTGTAGTTGAAAATATTTTGTTTTGTAAATTACTTAAATAGTATTTAATGTTAAAGTTTATTGATTATTTTAAGAATATAATTGAATATTTTGAATTTTATAAAAAAAAAATTTCGTATTGAAAAATTAATCCGAATATAGTAAATTTTCGTGTATACACGAGAATTGAAATATTTGACTTAATGTTAATGAAAACGAACATTCAAAGCTGTTGTTATAATACTATTACGATACTATTGTTATAAATACTATGACACGTTGTTATAAAAAAAAAAAGAAATATTCTCTAATTTTCTTATTGAACATCATACTATTCTGTCCGATCTGTTGGAAAATCGTTTCTAAATGTTAACATGAGTTAACATAGTAGTTGTCATGCCATTATTCAACATTATGGCATGACAACTACTTGCATTTATATGTAATGAACTACTTGCAATTGAATCCATAAGAACAATGTTGTTAAGAATTTTGTTGATACTAATAATTTTTCGGTTTTTTCCATCAAACCAAATTGAGAGAATATTTTATAACTCAAACCTACAATAAATTTCAATCAAATCAAACTAAAATTCATGAAAAATTTTTAATGTAACCCTGACAATATGTTTGGTTAAATTCTGGCAAATAATTCAATAAATCGAATTTATTTTTATTAATTTTCAATTATATATATGATTGCATTTCCTATAAACAATTCATAATGGAACTCAATCGAATTAATTTCAATTAACTTCAATTAACGGTACAGAAAATATTATTCTAAGAGTTATTTTTTTCCTTGGCGGCTAACACAAAAGTATTTGATTAAAATTATTGCTTCTATACATAAAAATCGTATAATAATATAAGAATTTATTATTATACATATAACAATATAATGTCGATAGAAATTTTCATAAATGCACCAATGAATACGTACATAGTATTTATGTATGCAAGTGTTTTTATATTTTATTTGCGAAAAAATTTTATTAATGAACTCTTGCGACATTTTTGGTATGTTAATTATGAATAGTGTCAAAAAAATAAAAATATTTTATTAAATATTAATTTTTTTTATTTATAATTGTCATTTTTATTTTCGTTTTTTTTTTGAAAATATATTTCAAACATTTAATAAGAGACGTAATATTATGTCAACTAACATATTTTAAAATTTATAATAAATTTTAGCACATTGGCGCCATTAAAAACAATGTTCAAAGAAATTATTATAAAAGTATTTTAAAGATTCTCAGGAAAACATTACCACTCTGCAGGCAATCTGAACAGGTCACTGGTTGTTAAGGGAGTAATTGTACATTCAATGACGGTCGGGTGATTTTAATGTCGGGACGGAGGTGGTGACAGTAGAATATTGAATCTAAAACCCTGTATGAAAAAGACCCTGAATAAATTTAGAGAAAATTATTTACTTAACATCATTTCCAACATGTCATTCAAACAAGTCATTCAAACGGAGACATACATAACTAAAAAAATTAATTTGCATTATTGATTCTTAAAAAAAATTATTAAAAATGCAACAAAAATGGCCTAAATACGCTCGTCCTCCCTTAAAAATTACATTTTCAAGTATCTATTACTATAGGTTTCTTAATTAACGTTTGATTGTGATTGTCTGATGTTGCATTCTACTCTCTCGAACAAAACAAGTATTACTAAATTTTAAGAGAAAACGAGAAAAAAAATAGAGTTGACCTTGTCAACTCTGTGATACCCGTACGAATTTGTTATCCTATGTGCGAATAACTAATGTGCCATAACTAACTATGGGGCAGACTATGCCTTTAAGTTGCCGTATTACCATATTAATTTATGCAAAATTTCAGTACTATGTGTTATTCAAAATACTGGTTGTGCCAAACTACTATTGATGTTGTATGGCAGCTACCAGAAAGAGCCAAGAAATTTTAGCGAATTTTATCAAGCACATCGGCCCTACTAATATATTCACTTGTGTGAAATCTCAATATCACAGCTTTTATAGTTTTTGAGATATAGTCAAATAACTTTTGAAGTTGTATGGCAGGTACCAGAAGGAGCCAACTAATTTCAACTACTTTTATGTGACACATTGGCCCTATTAATATATTCGTTTGTATGAAATTTCAATACCATAGCTTTAATAGTTTCTGAAATATAGCCAAATAATTGTTGAAGTTGTATGGCAGGTACCAGAAGGAGCCAAGTAATTTCAACGACTTTTATATGGCATATTGGCCCTACTAATATATTCGTTTGTGTGAAATTTCAATACCATAACTTTTATAGTTTCTGAGATATAGCCAAATAAATTTTGAAGTTGTATGGCAGCTACCCGAACCGGTACCCCAATCATGTCCAATTTAAATAGGGTTCTGGCACTTACTACAATAAATCATTTGTGAAAATTTGGTGAACTTAGCTCAATTAGTTTTTGAGTTATCGTTGGGACGGACGGACGGACGGACGGACGGACAGACAAAGCTAAATCAACTCAGAATTTGACGCTGATCAAAAACATACACTTGAGTCTATATCTACCACCGTTATTTCTTAGCGTTACAAACGGTAAGGCAAATTTAGTATACCCTTCGAACATACGTTCGTACGGGAATAATTAGTTACATGAAATCGACAATATTTGTTACGTTATGTTAAATAGATTTTTGTAAACAAACATCGTCCTTAATAGTTTACATACGTCATCGTCAAACTAAGTGATCCAATTACGTATTTTAGCAAAGAAAACTTTAATAGCATCTTCTTTAAACACTCATTGAATTGATGAGTTGTATTTAAATTTTTATGTGTGGCAATATTTTAGAGATGGCACATGTAATTACAACAATAACAAAATGGCAATACTTCTCTTATTCTTTTTTATACAATGGCAACTTTTCCCCTTATATTCCCGCATAATTATTTCCTCTATAATTTTTGAATTAAAAATTTGTATAATTTTGAATATTTTGTACGAATTATAAATAATTTTGAATATTTCAAATATTTAAATATTAAAATAATTAATTATTTTAATTTAAAATTAATTTGATAATTTGTTAAAAAATTTCTTTATAAACGCGTTGTTGTCAATAAAGGGATTTTTATTTAAATTCAAACAAAATTTTTGAAAAAGAAAAAAAAACTCAATACTATTATTAGCAGCCGTGTTAGAATAGAAAAGAAAAAAAAAATATTTTTTCAATAGAAATTGGTGGTGCATTTTTAAAAAAATTTTTTATCGGAATTTTTTTTTTGTTTCATTCTAAAAATAAAAACAATTAAGCAATTTAAATTAAAATTAATCGATCGCTTTGTATACAGTGTAAAAGAAAATAATTGGCACATTGTACGAATCCAATAGGTTATATATATATTTCTATATATATATATATATATATATATACATATAATTGAATTATATAGGATTATAGGGAAAATTTCAATTGTTGTAATAAGAAATTTATAATGATAGGCTGGGTCTATACGATAATAAATTCGATATAGAAAAGTGGAATTTTCAAATTCAATTTCTATTTTTTTAAATTTTATAGGTATTGCGATTTTTTTTGTTGCGTTTCTATGTGGACAAAATATTTTTATTTTCTTTTTATTTATAATTAACTATAAAATGTACAATTAAGTGTTCAATTTTAATATTAAATCACGCATTACGTGATTAAGTTGTTGAACATTCATTTAGTCGTACAACAAAAAAAAAAACAATTGAAATTTTTCAAGTTTTTTTTTTTAAAAAAAAAAGAATATTTTTTCTTGCTTTTGTTTTTTGCTTTTATATTCTTAATATTTCATAATTTAAATTATTTATTAATAATAATTATAATTCAGTTTTTATACTTTTTTTTATATTTTTCTAATTTTAAAATTTCAAAATATGGTTAATAAAAAAGTTTTAAAACAAAGACAACGGCAACGCGTTGAAAGACTTAGAAATTATCAAAATGAAACTAGTAGTAGTGATTCAGAAATTGAAAATATTTTAAATGGTAAAGGTGGTAAAAATGCTTCAAATAGAAGCGATACCAGTAGTGAAGAAGATTCAGATTTTGATGATGAATTATTGGTGAGAATATTCTCGTGTAGAAAAAAAAAATACTGCAAAAGTTGCAGGTTTTTTAAATTTAATTTGAAATCTAAGAATAAAAATCAATATTTTATGAATTGAAAATTGTTCTGGTTATCATGATTTTGTTTAATTTTAAAATTAATTTATTAAATTTAAGGAAAACTAACTGATCTAATGATAATAAATTCTAATTTACTAACATAATTTTTTGATAGTTAAAATTAAAACAAAAAATTTATGATTAATGTTATTCTAATTTCCACTTTTTTCTATTTTTCATTTTAGGATGAATATGACAAAGAGCAAGTTAGAGGTAAGTTAAAAGTTAATGTTAAGACATCGATAGTGTTAGAATAATTAAGTGACTTGTGAGGTAGAGAAATCCTAAAAAAATGCAATTATTAAATAGATATACGATTTTTATTGGATTTTGCAACAAATACTTTTAGAAATTTAAGCTACGATTAAGTGTTTCCTTTTAATCTGACGTTTAAGATATGAAAGAGAATTATTAATTTTTGAGAAAGTTGACAGACAGAATGAAATGAGATGCGTCTGATTTAAATTAATAAGAACAATTTTAATAAAGTAACACTTCAATTGATACTATAATTAAATTAAAGTTACTAAATACAATTCTTAATAAGAATTGTGTATTCTATTAACAATATTAAGTATAAGGAATATGAAATTTAAAATTTGAAATCACAATAACAAAAACTCAACTCAATTGAGAACAACAACAGCTTTAATTACAGGAAAAGAGAACGTTGTTTGCTGAACTTAAAAAAAACAGCAGTGTATGCCATAGCGCATGCGAGGGCTGTGTAATTTCCTTGTATATTCAGTACAAACATTCCGCAAAGAATTTCACTAATATTTCTCTTTTGAATACAAAAATAAAGATAAAAATAATTTATAACATTAAGATAAGGGCTTACGGAATGGAACATGTAGATTTCAAATTGCCAGTCTAGGCTTGCCTTACTGAAAAAAAAAAAATAATACATTATATTTTTATTGAATAATCACTAATTTTTTTTGCTTTTTACTTTCACTTTCATATTTTTAGTTCTTAGAAACGCTTTTGCAGCATTTGATCATAATAGCGAAAATTCTGTAGATGTAGCTGATGTACCAACTATATTGGAAATGTTTGGACAAAAATTGGATGATAAAGCTCAAAAGAAATTATTAAGTGAAGCTAATCCATCTGGGGCAAAAAAATTAGATTTTAATATATTTTGTAAAATATTTGCCCGTTTTATTGAAGTTGAAGAGGATGCTGATGCTGTTGCTAGAGAATTGAAAGAAGCTTTTCGATTATATGATCGTGAAGGTAAAGGCTATTTAACAGTTGCTACCCTTCGTGACATTCTACATGAATTGGATGATAAATTATCAAATCAAGATTTGGATATGATGATCGATGAAATTGATGCTGATGGTTCTGGTACAGTAGATTTTGATGGTAAATATATTTGATTTGCATTTTGAAGTTTTTTAATTAATGAGAATTAAATTTTTCTTTTTTTTGTATATTTTTTATGTATGCAGAATTTATGCAAGTTATGACAGGCGATTAAAATTTTTATGATAATGTAGCTATTATATAACAACTTTATATACTATGTGACAATATATTTTATAATACCAACAAAAATATGTGAATTAATTTAACAACAATATTTATAAAATATGTGAACAAAACAGAAAAATTAAAAGAAAAGAAAAAAAAATAAAATAAAATTTGTTTTTTTTTTTTGTTTTTTTATTTTGAATTTTTATTTCTTGTTGTTTTTAATTGTGTATTACTTTTGCTAAACTGTGAATATTAAATGTAGGCAGGCATAATTATTACAACAATTGCTTTGACAAGATTGCCACAGTTTTGCATCTGAATTTATCAAAATAATAAGGATTCAAATTGGAAAATTCTCAACTCGTCAATTTCCCTTGGAAATTTTCAACTCGCCATACATAAATTTGTGTAACAGGTAAATTATACGGGAAACTGCACGAAGAAAGACACATGTAATTAATAGGAATAGTGTGTAGAACTCATACACATAAATAGATATACTGCGATATGAACAAAAAAAATTAATTTGACAGCATATTTGATCAAATAGAGTTTGATGTGCAACTAGAATTTCTCAAATTTCATGATTGTCAAATTTAATTGTCCAATTTTGGTTGATGTCTAAATTCTACTTAAGAGAATTGAAATTTTGATTTCGAAACTAAAAAAGCACCATATAAGTAAACCGTGAGCTATTTGACATCTTTAGAATGTGCGCCATTTAATTTGAACTGTCAGAATTTTATACAAGAAAAGCAACAATTTATACAAAGTATAAATTATTTTTAAAAATTTTTAGTACCAAATTTAATAAGATTAAAAATTAAAATAATTTTTTTTTTAAATTTTTATTTTTAGAACAATCGAGAAAAGCAGCAACTCTTCTCATCATTGAACCATTTGTATTGAATGTATTTTCACAGCAATTTACGTTCAGTGGGTATTTTTAAATGAAGCAGCACCTGACAATGATATTAATTTTTTTGCATTTTTTTATACATAGGTCGACTTATTTGCTTTCAAATTTTTTATACATATGGAAAAAAAAAACAAAAAAATTGAGTTTCAAATTTTTAATCGATTTCAAACACTTACTAATTTTTCTTGCAAAATTTAGTGTAGAGAATGGAATTAATTTATTATTAAGGGTTTTAAAATACTAAATTTTCTTATTCTGCACATTTAAAATTACTATAATTTATAAACCATCGAAGAAACGAGCACATTTCAGTTTGTTTTTGTTGGTAATTACTTAAGTAATGAAAAATTTTTGACTAATTCTAGATTCTATATGAATCTAATACACAAGTTGTTTAAATATTTTAGAATTTTTTTCAGAAATTTTTATAGAAATTATTTTGACAAATTGTTATATTCAAACGCTATTAACAATTTATAGCTTGTACACAATCATTAATAACCGCAATGATTAAACACGACTTACACTAAAGAATTGCCATATTATTGACAACTTCATCAAAATTTCGTTAATGCTTGACATAAATTTTATTTTTTTTTGAAAATTTTCGATAAAGTTTAATTTACTTGTATTTTGTAAAGTCATGATCAAAAAATTGCAATTATTTATAAAAATTTATCACGATATTCAAATTATAATTTTCATATTTTAAATTATGATTTTATTACAAATCGCCATTTAAAATTACATACATACACGCTTATGTGCATACATACATACATATATACATCAATTTCATAATTTAGGCAACAATTTGTCTGGAAAACGTCAATTTTCAAAGACCTTGATAATTTGTCAAAAGAAGCAAAAGAAAAAAGAGAAAAGATAAAAAAAATTTGATAAACCAAAAAACAAAAAATAAGAAAAAAAAAATATAATAGTGCGCTTGCACATCCTATTCATCCACCTACCTATACAATAGCCCCAATAACAAAATCCAAGTCAGCCTATTTAAAATGAAAAATTTACTTAATTTTGGTCACCGTTATTAAGTGCCCTACATAATCATAAATTTTTTTATGTAATAACCCGTTATATTATTACAATTTTTTGAAAATCACTTTGTTTTTTTGTGTTCCGTGTACTTCATTATTACAGTTATTTTACCTAATTATTATACACTATTATTATATCACCCTTTTTATTATCGAATAAATTGGAAATTGAAAGAAAATTTTTGTATCTTATTATTAACGTAATGATTTTTGTATACAACATTATATTACATTTTATATTCATCAATTATTATAAATAAAATCGTAACTAATAAGATAGGATTATTGGATTATAATGAGGAAAAATAGGGTTAATTTAATCAACTTTAAGATATTTCATAATAATATTATGAAGACAATTATGATTAATCAATAAATGATAATGTTATTTAATGTTAATGTATATAGGTCTATTTAAGACTCTGTTTGTGGTAAAATTTTTAAGAATTAAAACATTATAAGAAAATAGGTGATAAGTAGTGATAATTGTTAGGATTTCTTTGTTTCTGAGATTTTTAAAGACCGAGCACCACTTTCTTTTCCTGTAGGTATACAAAATTTCATTTTGTAAAAAATAATATATAATTCCGACACTTAACTCAAAACATGAACATGAAATCATCTCCCTATTGCAAATTTTTTATTCATAAGTCTATCAGTCATCTGTAGGAAAAATTTTATTCTAATATTCCCTAATTTGTTACCGCAGTCTTGTTTCTCGCAAGGCTGTGATGGTATCAAATGTAATTGTAAATAAAGTTTAATTAAAGACTATCCAGTCTGCGCGTAGTAAGCTTTCAAATCTATCATTTAATTCACCATTATAAATGATATTGCATAATTCAAATAAACTTTTCATGTGCTCTTCAAAAAGAAATATTCAAATTTGGATATTTGCGTCATACACAGTTAATACACTTAACAAAAATATATTTATAAGGAAAAATAGTTAAGAATAACATGTTACAATTACCATTACAATAACTGTAGCAATAGAAACATGATTGTTAAATCGAATTTTTATATCTTTGTTTTGTTACAAATTTTCGATAATAATGGTAATAATAAGGATCGTGAAAAATATAAAAATCAAAAATCATTATAACAAAAAAAAAAAAAAAAAACAAAAATTTCGATTTCATTTCTATCATCATTGAAAATTTTCATAGTTTTTTGTTTTATTATTTTTTACCGACCGCATTGGCCACATTAAGGAAAGTATTGTTATTGCATTAAATTTCACATGTTGAGTTCCCAATAGAGAGATTTATTTCGCGTGCTAGACAAATGTATACAAGCTGAGAATTCTCAAGTGATTCTTGCTCATCCCTACAATCTACTTAAATAGCTTTAAGTATATCAGCGAAAAGTATTTGACATGATTCCGCAGAAGGGATCCGGCCCAAGGAGATATCTGTCAGCTTTCCAATTGCAAACGCGTCAGCTGCAATTGATTCAATGAGTTTCTCAAGACAACTCCATACTGCCGCGGAAGATACTAAAAATGAATTCAGCGCTCCGATTATAGGCCGACTATTCAGGCCGAGGGCATTCGACAATCATTATTTCCTGTCCCCAATATTTCCTTTCAAAGAATAATCGCACGCACAACCTAAGGACGTGCATCTCGGCCTGATACACGCTCGGAAACATCCTCATTGGTTTGAACAATTTGGTTCTTGGTATAAACACTGTCGGCACCATTTTCGTGATACCACCTGTATATCAGTGCACCATCTGATGGAGTGAAATCTCAATGGGTAACCCAAAATTAGTACTCCCAACTCCTTTAATTGAAGAAATTACATACATAACGCGGTCGGATATGCCTTGACCACACACTAAACTTATTTTTTATGTAGGAGAAGGCCTAATTTAAATTTTCATATTTTTTGTGTCTTATTTTTCTACTTCTTATTATTTTTATTTTTGTACTATCTTTTCTGTTATTATTCGATATCATTGCATGAACTACAAAATTTCCATACTATGCCAAATTTGTTTTTGTAAATTTTCAAATTATGCTTTAGTTATTTACAAAAATTAAAAAATTGAAGAAAAATGAAGTTACAAGCGAAAAAAAAAAGTTTTTCAATATTTTTTTGTTTTTCAATTTTTTTTATGATTCGTGTTCAGCCGTCGGCCAAAAGTGTGCCATTAACCATTAACCTATTCAACCTAATATGAAAAAAATTTTTTTTTTGTAGCTTGTTACAAAAACAACAACATTTTATTCGTGTGCGCCGTATTAATATAGTTATACATATAGATAAAAAATGAAGTTATAGGTACATTTGTATATTCTGTGGTGGCGGAGACCCTATAACTTGTAGTTGCACGAAATTTACGTTCAAAATTTAGAAAATGTTCTGAATATTAGCAAAAAAAATATATTTTTAGTTTAAATGTAGCTAACAATAATGGTTGTTTTTTGAATACTTACATAATTTTTTAATTTCATTTTGTTTTTATTAATCGAACTATGTCGCATATATCGCATTATATAATAAAAAATGAAAGTTATAATCTAGAAGATCAAAAACAAACCTTCATAATTCTAATATAAAAGTCCAAAAAAAAAGTGGTTTTGCATGTATGTAAAATTATTTTGACAATCCTAAAATGAGATTATCATAAAATTGACTATCCTTATTTAATCATTATTATTGTTTTATCGTGTACTTGAATCTAAAGTTAGAGGTAGTGAACTTTATTTTACCAAAAAGTTTTAAATAAATTAAATTTAAACATATATGGTTTCCAATTTATAATTAAAAAATAAAATTTAACTTAGAAATTGAGATTAAAATGCTCCAGCAGTAATATACGTTATATCCAGTAACAATGTTCTCTTTGATTGTTATAACTTCATAAATATAACTTCATAATATAACAGGACTTTTGTGCCTCTACATTGTGTACATGCATATATCACTCTTCATGAATGCAAAACATGGTTCCGCTAGCAGTCAATTGCGATATTTTTTATTTATTGCGATAGATTTGTGAATATATGAGAAATTCATAAACGGAAACAGTTACCACTCATCCTGCCAAAAACTTTTCTGAATTAAACATTTAAAGAATGTAATTCTATCACTTCACCTTAATTCTTACTATTTTATATACATGTGACAATAAATTTTATTTTTCTGGTAGAATTTACTGTTGTCAATGTCATATTGCTAATTGTGTAATAATGTTCTAAAAGTAAACTATAAAATTATAATT